TCCACATGGGTGGACTATTAGGGGATGGTCACCAGCCAAGGGTGAGAAAATGAAAAACACATTGAAAAGGCCTTTGGAAATATTTTCTAGACATTTTTGATAAACCCAAGACAATTTTTCTATTTATTTCCGTCATTTTTCTTCTCATCATGAAGATGTAGATATATGGGATCTATAGTGTGTGGCTTAAAGAACTGGGCTGGAACTACATAATACTACGTTTTCATTTCATTAAGATAAAAACGCAGTATTTATGGTAGAGGTATGCATCTGTCATTTCAAAATGCACATAAGCAAATGGAAGAGAATAAATATCACCCAAAGTGCCATTCACTGGAAATAATCTCTATTCAGGTTCATTTTTAAGTTGAAAACAGTGTCATCACAATAACTCAAAGCAAATGCCAATTTTCCTTTTAAAAAGGGAAATTCAGCTGGGCGAGCTGGTGCACGCCGGTATTCCCAGTACTTGGGAGGCTGAGGCAGGAGGATCACTACAAGTTCAGGGCCAACCTGGGCTATCTAGTGAGTTTGAGGCCAGTTTGGGGTACATAGTGAGACTGTCTCAAAAAACCCCCCAAAAAACCAGAACCAAAAACAGAAACAAAAAGGGAAGTTCACTAGTGTTTTGAGGTTTTAGAGATAACACAGATACATTAAGATATATTGCATATGGGGGCTGGGGATTTAGCTCAGCGGCACAGTGCCTGCCTGGCAAGCGTGAGGTCGTGAGTTTGATTCCTGGTACCGGAAAAATCAACAACAAAAAGATATATTGCATACGCAAACCACCATTGTTTCGAAATAGATTATGCATTTTATAAAAGCATATATATTATATTAGCATTAATTTTTAAAACACAATTCCACATTACTCCACTTGCACTTGAAGCTTTAATGCCACTACCTTAATTCTTTACCCCACCTTTTGTTACGTTCCTGAAGAGCATCGTTCACTTTTAATAACGGTCTCATTTGATTTGAGTGCAAACCCTGCACTCATCACATGAGCGTGGTCACTGTTACAGGAAAAGCACGAGGGAGCAGGGTTATTTCCGCCCCGGGAAGTGGCCCTGTGCTCTCCTACGGGAAGGAGCGCAGTGAGGCTGGATCCTGGGGAATCTGGGTGGCAGAGCCCCGGGTGCGTGTAGGCATATCATTTAGGAGGCTGTTACAGTTCATTTAAGATATGATTGTGGCCTGAGTCAAGGCAGATCATAGTTGAAATGGTGAGAAGTGAATTGCAGTGACATATTTAAGAGAACTTAGTAGTTCATTCAACGTGGATGAGAAAAAACAAAGAACCTATGATCATCAACACACTTCTGATCTGAGTAGGTGGGTGGACATCGGGTTCTTGCTGAGATACCAGCTGTTAAAAGGAAGTACGCCGCTGTAGTTAACAGTGAGGCCGAGGGCCTGCAGAGCTGTTTGTGCTTGCTGCTTCCACCGCGTAAGCACAGGCCGTTCTCAGCCCTAGAGAATCTGACTTCCACCTTTACTACGGGTAGGATTTGTTCCTGTCAGCTTTCCTTTTTCAACATGGAGCTAAACATAATGGTTGCTCTTTCAATCACGCTTTGCCATTGAGGATCATTTGCCCGTTTGGAAAGTCCTCGTGTTGGTCAGCTTTCGCCTCACCGAGCCACAGTCCTCCACATTCACGCTTTAAGGGAGGGGAAGTTTGATTCGGTTTATGGTGGGGGGGATTCAGTCCATGGCTACAAGGTGGGACCGTGTACCAGAAAGTGCTTCCCCGCCGCCGTGAACCAAGCAGCTTTGTTCCTCCCTACCTTCCGCCATGATGCCTCACAAATCAGTCTTCTTACCCTACCTTCACATGGTGGAAGGGTGAAGGTCTCCCTCCAGCCTCTTTTATAAGGGCACCGATCCCATTCATGATGGCTCCACCTGTCAAAGGTCCAACCTTGTAATACCACCACTGTTTAGGAGTGAGAAATCCAACATGAACCCTGAGGACCGTGTGAATCCCATCCACTGCAACTCCTGATCGTCACATCCATCTCCATTCAAGCGGTGGGACCCTGGCACCCCATACTCATCTCTTAGACGTTGTGCTTAACACTGTTCATTTGTCATTCTCAGATTTAATTCCTTGAGATCGGGATCTAGCACATGTAGGGACTTGTTAGGTAAGTGGGTGAAAGAAAGGATGAATGACACATGGCAGACTTGTAGCCAGCTGTGGGAGCTTACTGTCGTCGTAACTCCCACAGCGGGCTTAGAGCAGGGGTAGTGAACCTGTGGCATGTGTGCCGCTGCAGGTTGTCTACATCATTGAAACTTCTAAGAGGTTCGCCTTTACTGGTTCAGAGTGTAGACTCTGAGGCCCAAACCACCTGAATTCAAATCTCAGCTCCTTCTGTATATCATGTTTGTGTGTTTTAGTTTTGTTTCTTCAGAGCGGTTGGGGGAGGGGACAGTAACTAAGCATGGTGGTGCGTGGCTGTAATCCCAGCACTCTGGGAGGCAGAGGCAGGAGAATCACAAGTTCAAGTCTAGCCTGGGCAACTAGACCCTGTCTCAAAAAATAAAAAGGGACAGGGACGTAGCCCATGGTGCAGATGTTGAGTTCAATCCCTGGTACTGTATGTGGGGGGAAAACTATAATCCCTAGGTGACACTGTTGTGAGGAAGAGTTGTATATGGAGAGTGCTTAGAACAGTACCTACGTATAGTAAGTGCTGGTGAGGGGCTCGCTAGGATGTTGATTATCCCCCATCCCATGCCTTCTTAAAAAGAGCCCTGCCGTGGAACAATGGGTGCCCAAGGAAATAAATACAGTTTTTCACCTGTCAGAATGAAGTAGTACTTTTGTCTTCACCTGGGTTTAGGAGCCGGAGGGCATGGGAAGGGTCAGGGAAGTTCTCAGGGTGTCGCGGTGGAGGACATCTGTGTCAGCAGCGGGCTCCGGCGCGGGAGCTCATAAACAGTCTTCCCTTCTAGTTAAATCAGTTCATTAGGGCTGCACGCTTTCCTCAGGCTGGTTCTGACTCCTCTGAATTCAGAGAGTAAACACATTCATTATGAATAAAGTTTAGTGGATAAAATATTTAGTAATAGTGATTCATGAAAGAGATCATAAGAGGAAGGCTTTGGGTAGAAAATACAGGGGAGAAAAAGCATGGAAAAAATTTTGAACGGTTTAATGATTTTTATCTTTTGAATTTTAAAAAGTCTGTTTAATATTTAATATGATCGATTATATCTAACTCTCGGCTTTAGACTGGCTTTTTTGGTTTTCCCTTGAGCATTTTATTATGAAAAAATTCTAGTACATAGCAAAGCTCTGGAGGGTTGTACAGTGCACGCCCATTTATGAGGTGTAAGAAAAAATACAGGGAGTGTTTAAGTTAAAAATTCGTTACAGTGAAAGATGCATCGCCGTTAATCCCGCTCAAAATACTCCCTGACTTTGAACGCACTTCTCTCGTTGTTGTTGCCACTCTGGGAAGCAGTTCTCGAAGTCCTCCTTTGCGAGTGCCTTCACTTACCTCGCCAGGCCTACCTCTGCGTCTTGAAATGACTCAGAATGTTTATCTTTCATGGTCCTTGTGACCTTGGGGAAGAGCCGGAGGTCACGTGGTGCCAGGCCCGGTGAACAGGGTGGGTGAGGACGCACGAACGTTTTTTATGAGCCTGCCTTGCTGGTGAATGGCCCTTGGCAGCAGCATTCACCGTACTTTTTATTGGACTTTTTTCTTTTTTTTGGTGTGGTGGAGGGATCAAACTCCGGCTCTCACATGGCGGGCCAGTGCTCCACCACTGAGCTACACCCCAGCGCATCACATGGATTCTGTTTGTAATACTTGCTTGATCACAAAGCTGTAAGTGCATTTTTTTTTTTTTTGAAAATGCATTTTAAAAATTTAATTTTCTTTTGGAGGTACTGGTGTTGGAAGCTAGGGCCTCAGGCATATGAGTCAAGCACTCCACCTCTGAACTGCATCCCCAGTCCTGTGTGCACTTTATTTTTTTTTTAAATTTAATTTAATTTTGTTGTGTGAGACAAGGTTTCATTATGCAATCCAGGCTGGCCGTGAACTCATAGTGACCCTCTTGCCTCTGCTTCCCAAGTGCTGGGATTACAGGTGTACACCAGTGCACCCGGCCTGCACGTACTTTAGATTTTAGGTTTGGTTTATTCTGTTCTTTGGAATGTATGTGGGAGAAGTTGCTGTTTTACTTTGAGCCCCCAGAAATTACTGCCGGACCCCACACATGAAGCAGTTCTTTTAAAGAGTTGTGCAGTAAGAATTGTTTTTATTAAAATGATTTCTTTTTTTTTTTTTTTTTTTTTATGGTTTTTCTCCAGTACCGGGAACCAAACTCACGACCTTGTGCTTGCCAGGCAGGCGCTTTGCCGCTGAGCTAAATCCCCAGCCCCTTAAAATGATTTCTTAAGACTCGAGGTAAAGAGGCTGGGAAGGTAGCTCAGTGACAGGGCACAAGCCAAGGTCTGCGTGAAGCCCTGGGTTCCGTACCCAGCACTGGAGAATAAAGCTCAAGGAGGAGGCGGGGGAGAAATGTGCAGATGGGAAAATAAGTCCTTGGGCAAGTAGTACGATACATAGCTCATCAGAATATTCTGATACACTCTATTTGGGTGTTTTTTTTTTTTTTTTTTTCCAGTTTCACTTTGCAGGCTGTTTGGGCTCAACTCTTACTGTTCCCAGTAAATGGCAGACAGTGAACAGAAAAGGAACCAAGTTAAACACAAAGTTTTAAAGAAAACCTTTGTGTACACAAACGCCTGAGGTCCCCGTCCGTGTGGACCCTAGTGCCTCGGGACAGGTTGCTAAACTTCAGAGCCCCGCGTGGTTGGAGGGCGGGTCAGGGATCCACAGCGCACGCTCCCTGGGCGTTCTGCCAGCAGCTCCAAAGAGCAGGAACAGGTCACGGGGCAAAATCTTGATTATGATTCAAAAAGAAGGCGTGGTTACTTTGTGCTTCACGAGCTAAGGAAACCCGGGCCAGAAAGCCAGATTTCTTTGGGACAGCCGTTGTTGGTTGCCACTCTTTTCTGGCGAGGTGTTTATCAGAAACGCAGAGCTGCAGAGTCCCTGATGAGTGTTTCTCCTTTTCCCTTGCAGCTGACCTCTGCGTCTGAGATGGGCATGGTGTAAGCTCCCCTGAAGAGAGAATGGCATCGAGTCCTGTGGTTCCCGCGGAGGATGAACACGTTTCCTCGGGCATCGACGACCTCCATGTCTCCCTGCAAGGTAGTTAAGGCGGGTTGGGTAACAGAGCCAGGCTGGGTGGCAGACTTACCCTCCTCCCTTTGCCACTCCTGTTAGTTTCTGCCTCTCGTACGGTTTGCAAAATATGTCCGTGTTTTCCCACTATAGAAATCTTTCAGTATGCAGTTCTTTAAATGTCTCAGTTGTTCAGCTCTCCCAGCTAAGAAAGTAAGGAATATCTGAAAACAGTCGTTCCCTCTGGTTCCTGAATATACATCTTCAGGGAAAAATTAAATAGTGAGCCGTAGTTTGCTTGGCATTGTGTACTTGGCATAGTTTGCTTTGCGTCTCCCCATGTGCCTCTCTTAGCTGCACATCCGTAGTTTGCCCTGTTCTAGAGGAACAGTTGTAATATTTTAAAGGAGTGATATTTTAATGAATAGGAATCGTGTGTGTGCACCTGTGAGTAATCCGTTTTGTGTTGAGTGTTCCTTACGGAGTTCAGCAGTACTTGTGTTGTATTTTGAAAATTCATGAGCCACTAGACTTTCTGCCTTTGTTGATAAAACAAATCTTGGAGTTGAATAAAGTTAGCTAGTGTAAAGGAGATACAGCTGGGGTCTTTGAAAACATTTGTGAAACTGTGTATTTTAAAGTAGTCTTTGAAGATTACTTGAGGGGACAGTGTTATACAACCTTTAGGATCTTACTTAGAAGCTACAGATTTTTGAGTCATTTATGATAAAGATTTTTAAATGACTTTCTGATTCTTTGTTTTAAAAATGTGTTTGCGCTGGGCATGGTGGCTCATGCCTGTAATCCCAGCACTTGGGAGGCTGAGGCAGGAGGATCTTTGGGAGTTCGAGACCAGCCTGGGCTACAAAGTGAGCTCAAGGCCAGCCTAAGCTGCAGAGTGAGACCCTGTCTCAAACAGACAAAAAAAAAAAAAAAAGTGTTTTCAATGATTAACTTCTTGACTTTAGGATTGAGATGGAAGTCCTTAGCTATTGGAATGGATAATATCTACCAGGGTTTTTAAAATAAATGTTTTAAATCCAGAGGCATTGTGGCATATGCCTGTAATCCCAGCACTCGGGAGACTAAGGCAGCAGAATTGCTGCTAGTTGGAGGCCAGCCTGGGCTACAAAGTGAGTTCAAGGCCAGCCTGAACCGCATAGGGAGACTTTGTCTCAAAAAGACAAACAGAAATATTGTAACTTGTATTGAGTAAGAAATACTGTGGTTGTTGGGAAATAATACTTGAGATAAGAATTTAAAAATTTTCAGTAAGTATATTTAAAAAATATAATATTCACAAGCAGTTGCATTTTCATTTAAGTGAAAAAAAGTCAGTATGCCTATTTTTCTTTGAAGTTTGACTACAGTGAGTATTCAGGCAAGTCTAATTTCTAAAGCTGGCTCTGCTGCTCAGTAATTCCTTGCATTTAGACCAGAGCCTTTATCTTTGGAATCTCCCTTTCCTTGTGTGCGGAATGTAGGTGATGGTGACTCCGCTGCAGCTGGGTTATGATGAGCAGTGACACAACACTTGGTAGACTTAGCACGGTGCCTGCCACCCAGCAGGGAGTCCTCCTTTTTGGGTATTGACAGTCAGAGTCTTTGTTTCAAAATCATCCAGGAGCACGCCACTGGAGTAGCAAGCTGTGTATAGGAACAGATTGCAAACCGGAAGTCCTGTTTTCACTGGGTTCCTTTCGGCACGCACCTCAGTGGCTTCCCAGCACACCTGGGTGAGGTCTGAGCCCCTAGCTTCTCTCGGTGCGCTCATCTCTCACTACACCCCTGGCACTCTGGGCTCCAGCCCATTCTGTTATGGGGCCCGTGCGTGCTTTCGTTTGGGTTGTTCATCCGAAGACCCCTGGCTCCTCCGCTAACACCAGCAGATGGATGAATAGCCATCCTTCACCCGCCCTGATGACAGTCAGCTTCGCCCCCTCTGGTAGGCTGAGGTAGGCACCACCTGAGGTGGGCACCGCCTCCTCAGCTTTCCCTTTGTATCTATTTGAGCGCTCCTGGTATTATAGGGAGCTTCCCGACTTTATGTAGCGTGCTCTAGCTTTCTAGTGCGATAGCACACATGATCTCACTTGCTTCTCATGGGCACGTTAGAAAGTGGATCTTTCTGTCCTTTTAGTAAAAAATGAGCACAGATCTCTTTATCTTTGATGAACGCAGAAGCCGTGGCTGGGGAAGACTTGATTTACCTCCTGGAGTCACATAGCTAGTGAGTAGCTAGGTTTTTTTTTTTTTTTTTTTTGGTTTTTCTCCGGTACCGGGAACCAAACTCACGACCTTGCTCTTGCCAGGCAGGCGCTTTTGCCGCTGAGCTAAATCCCCAGCCCAGTAGCTAGGTTTTGAGCTGGAGGATAGTTCTCTTTTTAGTACTACCCTCTTTGTCATACTTCAAAGAACAACTTGATTTTTTTGTTTGTTTGTTTGCTTGGTACCGGGAATGGAACTCAGGGCCTTAGGCTCGCCAGGCAGGTGCTTATGCCACTGGGCTATATCCCTGGCCCTTCAGTGAACAATTTGAAAGAGGGAATTTTCTTGACACTTCTTTCCTGAGCATCAATTAAATCTTAGCCTTGTTCTTTGGATATCTTCTAATTTGTATTGTAAACTTTTATACCTAAAATATTGATGAACATCTTTGGATAACATAAATTATCTCAGGTTCATAAATTGCTTAAAACAATTAGCAAGTTGCTGAGAAGTACGTGGTTTCTTTCATATGATATGTTTTGAATTATGACTAGGTTATGCTTCACAATGGGACACTCCTGTAACCTAGTTAGCAAGGGAAATGTGATATCCGGGCACCAGCCAGTCTTAAAGATTTGCCTGCATGATGTATGTAGAAGGTGAGGTGCTGGATGCCTTGCTTTGTGGGGCAGAAGTGGAAAAGCAGAACCTTGATGGCAAGCCTGTTCCCATTAACCTGGAGCACTCAGGAGATACCCATGGTACCAAGGTGGTAAGTATCGCAAAATTTTAAAATTGGAAGGGATTGTCTGTGCCATTCAATATAATTTGAGACCAAAGTAGGAATCCTTTTAGAAGTGTTCTTGGGATTGAGATCCTTCAGGAAGTTAAATTTAAATCCAAGTGGTTTGGGATTTTCTTTTTGATCTTTGTGAGACAGAGTTTCATTATGCAGTTCAGGCCGGCCTTGGGCTCACTTTGTAGCCCTGGCTGGCCTCCAACTTGAAGCGACCCTCCTGCCTCAGCCTCCCCAGTGCTGAGATTAAAGGTGTACACCACTAGGCCTGGCTGGGATTTTTCTTTTAGACAATGTATAGCTGTTGGAGCACTCAGGAGATATCCATGAGAATGAGAGGTATGTGGTCAGAGTTGTGCCTTAGGGGAGTTGAGGTATGGGCAGGCTGGAAAGGGCAAGAAGGTAGAGTTGGAGAAAGCAGATAACAAGTACTTGCAGGCATGCATGGTGGTGCTCACAGCACTCAGGAGGCTGAGGCAGTAGGATCACTGCCATTCTGAGGCCAGCCTGGGTTACAAAGTGAGTCCCAGGCCAGCCTGAACTACACAGTGATAGACCCTGTCTCAAAAAGACCCTCCCTCGCCCCCCAAAAAGGGAAGCACTTGCAAATATCTGGGTGTTGGGGAATGTTCACTTGACTAGGGTTACCGCAGTGAGCGTGAAGGTGTGGGACCAATAGGAGACCCGTTAAGCTGTAAGACTCAGTAGGACTTTGCTGCTATTGGATATGGATACTCAGCAAGGGAGTTGCTACATTTTTAAAGTTGAGCTCCTTAGGGCAGAACAGTAGCACATACAGTGACCAGACTATCAGCTTGATTAGTGTATCTTCAGATTCATCTCTTTAAACTCACAAATATTATAACTTGTTGGTCACAAGGGACAGAATTTATGTAACCAAAATAAATGATCTTGTTTTCAGACATGGTAGAGGCCAGTGCTTTGGAAAAACAGCAGCCTGGCTATGGATTATTATCCTTAATTAGACACAGAACTGGGAAGTAGCGTGTATTCTGTTACCTTTGCCACCTCACCAGGAGTTAACTTTCACGGTGGCCTTCCAAGATGCTGGGGAATGGTTAACCATCTGTACTGGCCTGTAGAAAAGTACGTTCAGCATGGCTACTGTGTCATTTCAAACAGTGCTCGTATATTTTATTTAGTGCTCTTATCATCTAGATGACATATTGGAAAAGATTAACCCCCCACCTTGTGTCTTGTGGGTAGGTATCATTAGTTGGTAGGGCTCAGTCATGAAATGTGAGTCTCTCCAGTTAGGTTATTACCCTGCTTAAATGTATTCTTTGCTCACTGAGTTCCATCTGAAGGGAGGCTTTCTTATTTTTAGTAACATTACAAATGATCTGTGTTAGGGATACGTAATTATAATTAGATAGACGGAGTAAACATCAGGAGACCTGTTGTATAGCAAGGCCACTATGGTTAATGGTAATATATGGTATATAATGTTGCTTTTTTAAGAATGAACCCAGGACCTCAGACATGCTGGGCTAGTGGTCTACCAATGAACTGTACCCTGACCATATATATATTTTATATATATAATATATATATAATATATGTGTATTTTTTAAATTTAGTTTTTCCTGTATGTTTTTGAAAGATATAGAATGAATGTTATCTGCCCTCACCACAAAAAAATTATAATGATAACTATAGGAGATCCATCCATCTGTTCATTAGCTAGGTTTATCCATTCTGCAGTGTACATGTACTTCAAAACATACGTGATAAAAACATACAGAGTTAGCCGGGCACCCCCTGTAATCTCAGCACTGAGGAGGCTGAGGCAGGAGCATCGTTGCAAGTTCAAGACCAGCTTAGGCTACGAACTGAGCTCAAGGCCAACCTGAACTGCATAGCGAAACCCTGTCTCAAAAAGACAAAAAACAAAACAAAACAACCCCCCAAAACAACCACACAGTATTATGAGTTAAAAAAATTCTGCTGTCAAAGAAAAAACATCCGTGTTTCATGGGTTAGGTGAAAGGCATCATAGTGA